GAGGAGGAGGGGGGGGGTCCTCCTCCCTCTCTATCCATGGCAGCGGTGGTGGAGAATCGGCCCATCCCGAAGGTGCTGAAGAGCCTGCGGATGATCCGGATGCTGCGCTTTTCGCGCGCCACCAGGAGCCGCCGCGCGCCGCCCCTCGCCGACGCTCGCCTCGCGGATCATGCAGTCGAGACGCAAAGAAGGAGGAGGTACCCATGTAGTGAGGTCCCATGCCAAGAAACACCGATCCTCGATCCTCGATCCTCGATCCGATCCTCGATCCTCGATCCTCCTCCTCCTCCTCCTCCTCCTCCTCCTCCTCCTCCTCCTCCTCCTAGACCCACGAGACGTGCCTGCTGCCCAGGCGGCCGACGATGCAACTCTTCCAGTCCACGGCCCCTGAGCCACCGACCTCTCTCCCGGGGGAAGTCTTTCTCGTACAGTGGGGGCCAATGCCAAGAAACACCCTGCTTGCCTCCAGGGTGCCCTGGGTTTCCTGGGTTTCGATGGTTTTGCTGTGGGAAGCGCGACGTTTCCACGCCGAAAATCGATGGATGTCCTGGGGTCTCCAGGTTGGTTTTCTGGTGGAAGGTTTCTTGTGGACTGGCCTCCACTGTATTCGAAGAAGAAACAACGGCATAAACATAAATGTTTTGGCGCTCCGCGCGGATTGCTTGGATCCGCGCCTGGGCCCTCTCGGCGTCGCTTCCGGCGCCGCCCCTGACACGCTCCGCGGGCCAGGGAGGAGGGTTCAGCGCAGATCCCGGAAATCCGCGCGGAGCGCCAACAGTTTATGTTTATGCCGTTTTGTCTTCTTTGTCTTCTTCTAGCTACCCCTCCCTCGTTCTACCCGTTTTGGGTCTCCTGGGCTTCCTGGGAGGCCCTCGTCGCCACCGTCGGATTCGCATCGAAGTCCTGGTTAGAACGCATTCTGGGAGTGGCCCAGGGAGTTTCGCACGGGGCTAGGACGAGGATAAATCCGTTCCAGAGCGTTCTGGAACGCTCTCAGAGCGTTCCGGAACGCTCTGAGAAGGCCGCGGCGCCCGAGACATCTCCCAGAGCTGCGGGATCTCAGAGATTCTCGATTCATTGGCGATTCATTGGCTGACGCCGCACTGGCGACCCCTTGGGGCGACAGTAAGAGTGAAAAACGGAGTCTGCGGAACGCGCGCGATTTCTGGGGAATCTTGGGGTTTCAGCTTCTTGAGATTTCGTCGGGGGCGGTTGGCGGATCGCGGCTCTGCTTTTGCGCTTCTCGGGGCTCTCCTGGCAGCACTTTTGTTGAGGCCTCTTGGGAGCCGTTTTGAGTCCTCTAGGAGCCTCTTTTGGGCCCCTCGGTGGCCTCGTAGGAGCCTCTTGGGGGCCTATTGGCGCCTCCTCAGGTTTTTTCGGGGCCGAGTGCTCGAAGTGTTCATTCGGGTTCCCACTCTGGGCCTCCTCTTGGGGCCGTCCTGGGGCCCTCCTGGGTCGTTTTGGAAGCTTCTGGGGCCGTCTTTGGGCCCTCTTGGGCCATCTTGAAGCCCTCTTGGGGGCCTCTTGGGCTATCTTGGGTCGATCTGAAAGGCTTCTTGGGCCGTTGTGGGTCTCGTGAAAGCCCAAGAGGTGACTGTGCTAAAAATACACGTTTTCCCTAGGGAATGTGACGATTTTCGCTTCTTGGGACGCCTCTTGGCGGCTTCTTGAGGCGTCTTGGCGGCTTCTGGGACCGTCTGGAGGCAATCTTGGGCGTCTTGGAGCGATCTTTCGGCGACTCGTAGCCTTCTTGGACCGTTTGGGGGACCGTTTAGGGGTCCTCTTGGTCCGTTTTGGGGCCCCCTGAGGCTCCAAGGGTGCGGTCGGCACCTTTGCCCTCCACCCCTCCTCCGAACCGGCCGGACTGGGCTCCCAGGGGAGGGGTTTGGGGAGGGGGAAGCATCTCACACGCCGTGACCCCAAGGGGTCGGCGGATTTATCCTCCCCCGATTTTATCTTCGTCCTAGGTTTGTTTGTCGTATACAGACTTGTTTTGCTCCGACACTGGTTTCCGCGTCGGATGTACAACAACATGCGCACTATGTCCGTAGATCTACCAACATTGTACGCATCTTCCTAGAGTCGACAAACATGCATTTTGGGGTAAATCAATTCTGTAGTCGATCCCCCACTCGACGATTTGATATTCCTCATGGTCGCATGATGGCTGTACCCCTGTTGGCCCAGGCGGCGCTTGGGGGTATCGGGCACCCCTGGTGTGGCTGATTTGTTGCAGACTTTTTTTAGATTATGAGCCCCGCCAGGGTTGCGGATTTTGACCTGCAGAGTTCGGGTTCGCACTTGGTTGCCCATAGGCGGAGAGGGGGGAGGGAAACGCACGGATCATGTGGAGGAGGAGGAGGAGGAGGAGGAGGAGGAGGAGAAGCATTGGGGAGGGTGGAAGGGATTAGGGCAGCTGCGGAAGGGGGGGACTCGGGGGGGAGGGGGGACGATCGAGGAGGAAGATGATGGTGGTGATGAGCATGGCGACTGTTCGATGGGGCGCACAGGAGGCCGTCACGCCTAGCACCTCGTGCCCTCCAGGCTTCCGGAGAGCCGTGTGACGCGACGCGCTCTTCCGCGTCGTGCCAGTGCGCCTCTCTTCGTCCTCGGCGTCGGCCTCGTGGCCTCCTGATGTCCCCTTCTCCTGCGCTGAAGTCGGGCATGTCCCCTTACGGGAGGCATGTTCAAACATAGTCCAAGCATAATCTGGGGACGATTTTTCATTATTTTTGGGTTGTTTTTGCATCTTCTTTGTCTACTTGTATCTTTCGTCCAAATTCCGCCTGTAGGGGGACATGCCCGACCTAATCCTGCGCCCCTCCCGCGCCACCTCGCCGCTTCTCTTCCCTGCTCCTGCCCCATCGTCTGGTGGGCTCGTTTGAGGCATCGCCCAACCAGCCGTCGCATGCGGCACTTCTGCCGTTTCGGGGTCGTCCATTATAATGCTATCTCGGCGCCTGTTCATCGAGTAGGCCTTCGGGCATCCGGGACGGGTCAGTGCTTGCCAAGGGCCGGTACGTGCACTCTCCCCGGAGACGGCGGGAGCAGCGCCCAGCAAGCCGTCACATCTGACACCTCGGCCGCCATAATGCGATCGCGGACTGCTCTGAGGCCGTCCTGCGGCGGATCGCGCAGGAATGTGAAGGAAACGACGACGAAGAGGAGAAGCAGGAGGAGGAGGAGGAGGAGGAGGAGGAGGAAGAGGAGGAGGCTGAGGAGGAGAAGGTGGAGGAGGAGGAGGAGGAGGAAGAGAGGTGGGGGTGAGGAGGTGGAGGATGGCAGTGGCGAACGAGGATGAGGATGGCAGTGGCGGACGAGGAGGAGGAGGAGGAGGAGGAGGAGGAGGAGGAGGAGGAGTAGGAGGAGGAGGATTAGGAGGAGAGGAAGGCTGAGCCACATGCGACCCCTCTGGTATTCGCTTCTTGGGGGGCTCTGATGGGGCCTCCCGATCCAGCTGGCTGCGGCGAGTCCGGCCACAGTGCCAGCCCAGCATTCTGGGTGGAGACTGTTTGAGGATGGGATGGCCGTGTAAATGATGATGATGATGATGGTGATGATGATGATGCTGATGATGATGATGATACTGATGGCGATGATGATGACGATGACGACGATGATGATGAGGATGATGATGCTGATGATGACGATGATGATGATGCTGCTGCTTATGATGATGATGCTGATACTGCTGCTGATGATGATGATAATGCTGATGATGATGCTGATGAGGTTGATGATTGATGATAAGGATGATGATGATAATGGTGATGCTTGTGCTGCTGCTGATGATTGATGACGATGGTGATGATGCTGATGATGATGCTGATGATGATGCTGATCGTGATGATGGCGATGGTGGTTGTGATGGTGATTACAATGATGACGACGATGATGGTGTTGATGATGATGACGATGATGATGACGCTGGTGTTGATGATGCTGCTGATGCCGCTGATGATGATGGCCCTGCTGCTGATGCTGATGCTGCTACTGATGGTGGTGCTGATGCTGCTGATGATGCTGCTGCTAATGATGATGCTGATGATGATGCTGATGCTGATGCTGATGCCCACGTTGATGCTGCGGCTATTGCTGATGATGGTTATGGTGATGATGCTGATGCTGGTACCGATGCTTATGCTGATGCTGATGACGATGCTGATGACGATGATGATGCTCATACTGATAGTGATGATGATGCTGGTGCTGCTGATAATGATGCTCATTACAATGATGAGGATGATTATGCTGATGATCATAATGGTGATGATGATGCTGCTGATGATGATGCTATTGATGCGGATGCGGCTGATGATGTTGCTGCATATGATGAGGATGATGCTTATGCTGCTGCTGATGCTGATGACGGCGATGCTGATGCTGATGATGATGATGATGCTGTTGCTGGTGTTGACGATGCTGATAATGCTGATGTCGATGCTGATGAGGTAGATGATTGATGATGATTATGATGATGAGGATGCTGATGATGATGATGATCATGGTGATGCTGGTGCTGCTGCTGATGATGATATTGATGATGATGCTGCTGCTGATGATGATGAGGATGCTGATGGCGGTTGTGATGGTGTTGATGCTGATGATGATGACGATGCTGACGACGATTCTGATGCTGATGATGATGATGCTGACGATTCTGATGACGGTGGTGTTGATGATGCTGCTGATGCTGCTGCTGATGATGATTGCCCCGCTGCTGTTGCTGATGCTGCTACTGATTGTGGTGCTGATGCTGCTGATGGTGCTGCTGCTAATGATGATGCTCATGATGATGCTGGTGCTGATGCTGATGCCCATGTTGATGCTGCTGCTGTTGCTGATGATGGTTATGCTGATGATGCTGATGCTGGTACCGATGCTGATGCTGATGCTGATGACGATGCTGATGATGATGATGCTCATCCTGATGGTAATGATGATGCTGATGCTGCTGATAAGGATGCTCATTGCAATGATGAGGATGACGATACTGATGATCATACTAGTGATGACGACGCTGACGACGATGATGATTGATGCTGATGATGCTGCTGATGATGATGCTGATGATGGTGATCATGATGCTGGTGATGATGGGCATGATGGTGATATGATGATGATGATGATGATGATGATGATGATGATACTGATGCTGTTTTTGATGCTGATGCTGATGATGATGCTGCTGATAATGATGGCGATGATGACTATTAGTATTCTGGCGGTGATGATAATGATGATGCTGATACTGATGTTGTTGATGATGTTGATTATTACGATGATGCCGATTATGTTGTCGATGATGCTGATGATGCTGATGATCATGATGATGATGCTGATGCTGATGCTGACGCTGCTGATGATGATAATGCTGCTGCTGATGATGATGCTGACTATGATGATGATGATGCTGATGATGATGACGATGAAGATGATAACGATGATGATGCTGCTTATTCTGATGATGATGATGATGCTGATGATGATGATGATGATGATGATGATGCTGATGATGATGATGATGATGATGATGATGATGATGATGATGATGATGAGACGACGTCATGTTGCGATCTCGGACTGTTCTGAGGCCGTCCTGCGGCGGATCGCGCAGGAATGTGAAGGAAAGGACCGGGAGGATGATGATGATGATGATGATGATGATGATGATGATGATGATGATGATGATGATGATGATGATGATGAGGAGGAGGAGGAGGAGGAGGAGGAGGAGGAGGAGGAGGAGCATGAGGAGGAGGAAGAGGAGGAAGAGGAGAAGGAGGAGGAGGAGGAGGAGGAGGAGGAGCAGTAGAAGAGGAGGGTGAGGAGATGAAGGATGGCAGTGGCGATCGAGGATGAGGATGGCAGTGGCGGACGAGGAGGAGGAGGAGGAGGAGGAGGAGGAGGAGGAGGAGGAGGAGGGGGAGGAGGATGATGGTGGTGATGTTGACATTGATGGTGGTGCCTAGCTATCTGGGCCGCCCTGGGGCCCTCCAGGGCTCCCGCGGGGCAGTCCTGGGCGGCTCCGTGCTCCCGTTCCCTCCCGTTCCCGCCCCTCCGCCCTGCCCTGCCCCCTCTCCGCGCCCCCGCTCCCTCGGTGGTCCGCGGTCTCGGTGGGCCGCCGCGCTGTGCTCGAGACGGCCCGCGCGGAGACTGAGTGCGCCGCGCCGCTGCCCTCCCTCCTGGGGCCCATCTCGGTCAGTTCGATCCGATTCGGCCTCGGCCCCGGCCGGCCTGTCTCGATCCGACGCCGATTTTTTCGGGCGAGCCGAGGCGGCCCGATGCTCGCAGGGCGCTGCCGTGCATCCCTTCGCCGCCGCTCCGAGCAGATTTTTTTCGACGCCCGTGCCGATGCGGTCCGGTTCGGTACCCGGCCCCGGTCCGACCTTAGGTTTCCCGATTCGATGCTGACCGTTCCAGCCCTCCTCTGCGGCCGCCCTCGGCCTCGCCCGGCCATAGCTCAAGCAGTGGCGAAACGTCCTGGCATGCTTAGAGGTCCACCAGAGAATGTTCTGAGAGCCGTTTGTGGTGGGCACGGCACGTTCTTGGAGCCTTTTCTGGCCGGGGCTGTCTCGTTTTGGCCATGGGGCTTGTGCTCTGAGAATCTTGTCTGTGGCCTACGAACCTTTCTGTCTGGGTGCTGAAAGCGTGCCGCGGTAGGACTGTAGCGGTGCCGGGACGGTCGGTCCCTGCTCAAAGCTCCCGTGTGTTGGTTCGCCGCCGTGCTGTCTGCAGTCCATGCGTTGGCTCGGGCACGTGCCGTGCGGCCGCTGGCGCCGCGCTAAGAAGTATTCAGGAGCTCCGTAGAAGGCTCCTTAGAGTCTTACTAGAGGTTCCCTTAGAGACGCAATAAAGGTTTCCTTCGGCGGTCCTTCAAGGTTTCCTGAAGGGCTTTTTAAAGGTTTCCTTAAAGGCTTCCCTAGAAGCTCCGTGGGGGCTTCCTCAGGGGCTCATTAGGGAGGTTTCCTTAGAGGCATCCCTGACGGCTCCTTAGAGGCCCCTTCGATGGTCCTCTGAGATTTGTTTAGAGGCTCCTTCAAAGGTTTCTTTAGAGGCGCCTTGGAAGTTCCCTTAGAGGCTCCTTACGGGTTTCCGTAGAAGCTGCTTCGGGGCTCATCGGAGGCTTCCTTAAATGTTCCGTAGAGGCTTCCTTAGAGGCTCCTTCGAAGCTCCTTAAAGGATCCTCAGAGGCGCCTTGGAGGCTTTCTTAGAGGCTCTGTTAGAGGCTTCGTTGATGTTTTCGTAAAGGCCTCCGTAGGAGCTCCTTAGAGGCTGTTTTGAAAGCTGATTTGAGGCTTTACTAGAAAAGCAGAGAAGACGACAACAAAGAAGAGCGATGCAACCATGCGCGCGGCGCCGAGGCGAGAAAGCCACTTTTGAACAAATGTGAGGCGTCGAGGCGAGAGTGCATACACGCGCGATAGGAAACCAGAGGGAATACGAAAGCAAAGACGAGTGCTGACACAATGCGCGCGGCGCCGAGGCGATAATGTCACTTTTGGAAGCATGTGTGCGGCGCCGAGGCGAGACTGCAGGCATCAACCAAGACTGTGCGACAACCGCATACTCCACAATAGCCTGGCCTTCATTTTCCACCCCTGCGTTCGAACGTCGCCTGCGGGTTCGCTGGTCTGCTGTCGTTGCCTTCCTTCCTCGTCGGTAGGTGCCTCCGCCACTGTGTGCCTGTGAGTGTGAGTGTGAGTGTGAATGTCAACGTGAATGCGCATGTGAATATGAATAGGAATGTGTGTGTGTGTACGTGTGTGGGGGCGATCGCGAAACACTCGCGATCTTGTTGGCCGCTCCCGACCCGATCTCCCTGCGGCAGTTCACCAGCTCGGTGGGCCCGTGAGGGTGCCACGGTCCCCGAGATCGGGCCCCGACCGCGCGCTGTGTCTCTCGCGACGCCCCACAGGGCGGTTGAGATGCACGGCGGCCCAGGATGCAGTTCGTCCCCAACGTCATGAAGTTCGCCGTGCACCGCTTTCGCTCGGACCTCGTTTCGACGATCTTCAGCCTGGGAAAGGACGCGCCCCCACTCTGGTTCCGCCCCTTTGGGCAGGGAAGAGGAGGAGGAGGAGGAGGAGGAGGAGGAGGAGGAGGAGGAGAGGACGAGGACGAGGACGGGGACGAGGAGGACGAGGAGGAGCAGCTTGGGAGGGATTGGTTATTGCGTGCAGGTGGTTTCGGTTCGGTTGCTCGTTCTGGGGCTTCCTGGGGCGCCCTCGTCGCCACCGCCGGGACCACACCGTAATCTTCGTCAGAACTTTTGGGGAGAGGCTTGTGGGATGAGCGCGCGGAGGAGGAGGGGGATGAGGATGGGATCCGCAACGGGATGAGGATGGGGTGCACGACGCTGCTGTGATCTGTTGGGGGCTGGTCAAGACCAGGTATGCATGTGGCGGTGGACACAACTCGCACTGTCGAGTACGACATGGTGCTTTTCTTCTGATCGTATTCGGTCACCTGTGCTGGTGAGGGGCAGCTTGGCGCGCGAGGGGTGGCTGGTTACGGGGCATGTATGTTGCTGACCTCTCCGGAGGTTTTTGCGAGATTGTTGGAAGTGTCTGAAGGTTCCTGGAGATGGCTCGGCCCGTCCTCCGCAGTCGCGGCTGCTGCTCGGCCCCTGGCACTGCTGAGCACTCTTCGAACGCATTCGGGAACTGCCTCGGGACAAAAGTCATCCTCCACCCTGCTGTTCCCTCCTCCCTTGCTCCTCCCTCCTCTCCTCATCATCCTCCCTCCTCCCGCCTCCCTCCTGCTCCTCCCGTCCTTCGCCCTCCCTCCTCCTCTTCCTCCTCCTCCTCCTCCTCCTCCACCTCCTCCTCCTCCTGCTTTCCTGCAGGGTGCCCCTGGTTTCTTGGGTTTCGATGCTTTTGCGGAAAAGAAAGCGTGGCGTTCCAACGCCAAACATCTATGTACGTCCTGGGGTATCAGGGTCGGGTTTCTTGTGCAAGATCTCTTGTGGACTGGCCTCTGCTGTATGCCCACCAGCCCATCCAGCAACGATGTTCCGGCGAGTTGGTTTGCTGAGGGAACTTCGGGGCATTTTGCCAGGTCTACGTACGTCGAGGTCGGGGACGAGAAGAAGTTAGATGAGGATAGATGGGTCGGAGGAGAAACAGGACGAGGAAGACGAGGACGAGTATTAGGAACAGACGAGGACGAGGAGGACGAGGACAAGGACGATCACGATAATGAGGACGAGGCTGAGGAGGGGACAGGGAGGATCGCGAGTACGAGGATGAAGAGGAGGGCGAGGAAGAGGAGGACGAATGTGATAAGGGCGAGGATGAGGAAGAGGAGGAAGAGACGAGGACGCGGATTCTGGCAGCCAGCCTAGGGTTTGCTACAGGCCCTCTTGGAGTCCTCGTGAGAATCTCTCTTGGCCTTCTTGGTGCTCTCTTAGGGCTATTTTGGAGAGTATTGAGGTCCTCTTTGGGCTCAGTTGGAGCGTATTGGGGCCTTCTTGGGAGCTTCTTGGCAGTCATGCATCACAATTGCGTCTTGGGACGCTTTTGGGGCGCTCCTGGGGATGTCTTGGGGGCATCTTGGGCCCCTCTTGGCGCTCTCGTGGGTCATCTTGGGGTCATCTTGAGGCCTTGGACGCCCATCGGAAGCGAACAGGCGAGGAGGTAAGCACCATTTGGTTTCCTTGTGTGTCTGACGGATCTGGTGCTCTTTGTGGGGTCCTGGGAGGGCTCCACAAGCATTTGGAACCATCTTGTGGCTCTCTTGGGGCCTCTTGCAGGCACGATGGTGGCCATCTTGAACCATCCCCGGCCATCTTGAGCCATCTAGGAGGCCATCTTGAAGCATCGAGGCCAAGAATGACCCTCTGAGACATCGCGGGGCGCAACACATTCTCGGGGAAGGGGAGGGGGAGGGGAGGGTACCCGTCCTCGAAGGGAAGAGGGGCTTTGCAAGAGGAGCGAACAGTATCGGTAGATCACCTATACGCCCAGAGGGCTCGGATTCCGCCAAGGCGCTGAGATGGGAACACTTTGGGCCAGGAGGGGCTCCGGTTGTCGGCAGCTATGACTGCAGTACCTCCGCTGGCGCGCGCCCAGGCCTTTCGATGCCTTGGGCATCCGGCCTCTCCTCCCCCCCAGATCCTCCCCTACCGCCCGCCCCTGTGGTGCCCCAGATCGCCCTGCCGCTGGTCCCTGCCCCCCTCCTCTCCCATCCCCCTCCTGCCCTTGATTGATTGGCAATGCTGGGGGGCTTTCTTGGTGTTGTTTCAAGTTTTCGGTTTTCGGCCAACCAAGGCGGACTACAGACGGCATAACAAACTAGAGTACAAACGGCAGACCGAAACGGAACCGAACCGCAGACGGCGCGAACGAGAATCCCAAAGCGGGACAACACAACGGGCCCCCCCGATCGGAAAATCAACGCCGATCTTGAGGACGGAGCGCAAACAAAAAACGCCCCCCAGCGTTGGCAGCGTCATCTGAACTCCGACCCCCCTCCTCTTTGGTCCCTGCCCCCTCCGCCTCCGTGGCCGTGCCGCCGGGGTGCAAAGCTGGCCCTGGGCCTGGGCCGCCGCAGCCCGGCAGGGCGCCCTCGCGCCGCGTGCCAGGGCCCCGGCCACGGACCCACGGCCTGGCGGCTGCTCCTCCCGGGCCCAGGCCTGCCACCCCTTCAAGGCAGCGTGGACACTCGTCTCCCGAGCCTCCTCGTGCCGCTCCTCTGTCGCTCCTCCTCCTCCTCCTCCTCCTCCTCCTCCTCCTCCTCCCCTCCTCCTCCTCGCTCCTCGCTCCTCGCTCCGCGCTCCTCCTCCTCCTCCTCCTCCTCCTCCTCCGCACTCCGCACTCCCAGCCACTCTTCTCCTTTCGTCCTCCCTCGCCCCCGCTGTCCCAGATCGTCCTGCTGCTGGTCTGGATCAACCACGTGATCGCGTGCTGCTGGCACTACCAGGGCAGCGAAGACGGCTGGCTCGTGGTGCGCCTCGCCCCGCCCCAGGGGGGCCAGGAGGAGGAGGAGGAGGAGGAGGAGGAGGAGGAGGAGGAGGAGGCGGGGGAGGAGGAGGAGGAGGAGGAGGAGGAGGAGGAGGCGGAGGAGGAGGAGGAGGAGGAGGAGGACCTTTTGGACCTTTTGACCAAGCACGGGGCGTGCGGGAGGGGGGGGGAGAGGGGAGAAAAGCGGACCCCGAACGGGGGTGCTTAGGTGCAGGCGGGACCCCACCTCACCGCCACACCCCCGCACCTCCCACTGGCCAGCTGACCCTCCGCGGGAGGGCCAGTTAACCAGCGGGGGCGGGCGGCCCACCGTCCCCCCCCTCGGGCGCAGCACGCGCAAACAACCTCTCAAGGCTACCGCGTTCACGCGCATCGAGGGCAGCTTGCAAAGGCTTAGGCACCCCTTCTCTGCGGGGGTACATGCCTCCCTCGATGCGGCTTAAATTCTCACGGCCTTTGCGGGAGAGGCCCTCGCATCTCGCCGCGAGGTGGCGCCCATCGACCGTGGCGTACTTGCCACAGGTGGTGCAGAAACTCAGGAGGTAACGCTCCCACCTCTGGACGGTATGAGAGGGGTGCACGTCCCTTCCAGCCGCCAAGCCCCCGCTACACGCCCCCACACCAAGGAGAGGGAGGCCACGGCACTGGGTCTTGGCGGCTTCAATGAGACGTGACACGGGCACTACAATATCACAACTCCTGCACCTCCATGAGCTCTCTGCTTGCTCGAAGCTATGGCTGGAGGCCTGCAGTACACGCTGCCTCTTCGAGGGGGGGGGCTCTGCGCTGCACAGTGGCCCGCACTCCCCTCCATGGGTCAGCCTCCGCAGCCAGGGCCAAGGCGCGCTCGCACGAGCTCGAACCAGGGTGCCACTCGCATCCCAGTGGTCAGTCTGAGGCTCGCCCTCTTCCACCGAAGCCGCCCACCCTCTCCCCGCCGCAGCCCCCGCCTCCTCATCGGCCAGGGCGTTGCCCTGAATTAGGTAGGGGTCGATCGGCTCGCTGAGAGAGGTGGCTTCGTCCATATGCGAAGGGGTGAATTTCAGGTTCACCTCCGACGACCGAGCCTGGAGTGCCACCCGAATTCGAGACCACAAATCTTGATTTGAACCGTTCTTCTGGAACTGCCGACCCTTCCCCCATGCTTTCATGAGGGGCTCGTGGTCGGTAACAAACAGAAGCCTCTCGGGGACATGCTCAAGTGCGATGGCGAACGCGAACAGCTCCGCTCGAGGGACCGTTTGACGCTGCCCCCCGACAGGAGTCGAACAGCCCCATGCAAGCCTCCAGCCCCCTTGGCCGTCAGGCTGCATAACGACCGCAGCAGTACCACACCGTCGCCTACGTGGGTCCGCACTGTGGCCCCCCCCAATCCGTCGCCGAAAAACACCACACTCCCAAAGTTGGGATGCGGTTCGACCTCGGAAATCGGGAGCGGCCCCAGGGACAGAAGGTTTTCTTCAGGAAAAACCGAAAGATGGGTGTAGCTCTTAGGCGGAACTCCCCTGAGCCACAAAACTGGGCAACTCTCCCACTGCACCTGGGCCTGCTGCCTGACACATTCACTCTTCTCAAATTCTTCGAAGCCTACATTGCGCGGGCACTCCCACACTCGATGAAAGAGAGTCTCTGTGCTCTGCTGGCGTCTTTCTTGGACACTCTGTGGCTACTTCATATCCTAAGGCCGCCGGTCTTTCTCGAGTGAACTGTCTTCCAGACACTGCCGCATTCTGGAGACCTACGAGCTTATAATCTTCCTTTTTCTAAAGACTTGCGTACTTCGCGACTCGCCAGGAGAACGAACGTCCCCACCCCCCCCCCCCCCCCCCCCCCCCCCCCCAAAGCTCCAGCCCCTCACCCCCATAATGAGAAGCGGCCTGGGTCCAAAACTGGGACGCAAAGTCCTGGGCCAGGTCGTCGAGCAATTCAGTAAAATCTGCATCCCCTTGCTCGAAACCAGCCTCTCTCGCGCGCGGCAGTCTCCAAACCTCGCCCCCGTTCGCCGTTGGGCGACGCCGCGAGTCGGGGGAGAACGGGGTCCACCCAGCCTCGTAGAGAGTGGCAATCACCGCGCTGATAGGCCCGCACACCCTATTCCACCGCGTTCTAGCTGGCCAAAGCCGAGGGGTAAGATGCTTCCAAGCCGCTCTGATGCGGTCGTGGAGCTCTGGCGACGACTTCCAAACTAAACAGAACTCGAGGACCAACTGACGGCGCAACTCCAACCAGGATCTTTGACCCCTAGGTGCATGGCAAGCAACGTGGTCAGACAACGACCCGAGCCCGTTCCAGCGATAGCCTGGCCAGCCTGTCGCCTAAGGTTCTGAATCTGATTCGGGCTCGCGCCATGCACTTGGTGCCCGTGCGCCGCTTGGGGAAGGGCCCCTGTGGCCCAAAGAGACTGCGATATCTTCGATCATTTAGCCGGGCGCCTGAGCTTACTGATGCGGCGGAACCTCTTGGTGGCCTTGACTAGCCTACTCTTGGTCCGTTTGAGAATCCTAGCTTTGCCTACCGTGGTGTCGCATCCTAAATCTACCGCTGACACCTCAGCTGAATGCGGGACCTCGTCTGCTTTCAACAACTGACTTATTCGAGCTCTAACGCGAGACGATGAGGCCAGAACAGTGGTCTTGTCAGAAATCACCAGCCGAGCCTCTCGCATACCTTCAGTCCACACTCCTGCCGAGGCTGCCAAAGATATCGCAACGCTCTCTGCTGTCCCTTCGGCCCTCGAGACCGCATCGTCGATAAAGGACCACCGCCTGCAAACCTTGACCTGCCGATGGGTACGGTCCAAAATCGGAAACAGAAGCAATTTCGCAAGCGGGACCCCCAAGCAAGACCCTGCGACGAGGGGGCGCGTCGGGTAGATGGCCTCGCTAGCTCCTCCTTGACTCCTCAAAAACCTGGGCGCTACATAGACCTGAGACTCTAGCGCGACAGCCAGGGCAGGAAACCCGATGTCTAATGCTGTTTTGATTTCGCGTCACCAGGCTCAGTGAATCGTAGATTTTTTCTATATCTAGCAGAAGTGTCGCTACACGTGCACCTGTTAGCACTGCAGTCTCATCGAGCAAGCTGCGCAGCAACGCGGCTCGCAATGCTGAGTTGCCCTTGATAGCCGTATCCCAGAACTGGTCAAGGCCTGCGCTCCAAGCCTCGACCGGCCCCGATCTCACTCGGCTCCAGAGCTTTATCCCATTCGAGAGCATGCCGATCGTTCGGTCACCTCGCTGATTAGGTTTGGGCAGAAGGGCGGAAATCGTGGCAAAAATCTGCTCCGGCCACATTCCTTCACCTTCGACAAAGCTTAAAAGGGCGGCCAACTCTTCCACTCCCTGCTCTGGCAAGCGCTGCGCATCGGCCACTCGGAGAACGTCTATCCCTGGGGCTTTCTTGGCGGGAGCCCGATGCCAGAGAAAAGGAGAGGTGGGAGGCCTCGATGGGGCCCAGGGGGTCCTCGCCAGCCCTACGGAGCGCTCCCGAGATGGCCTCTTGCAGGGCTGTTGGGGTGTCTACAGGATCCAGCCACCTCTGCTGCCACGCAGCCTGCTTCTGGGCCATGATGGCCGTGGGGTCCGAGACGACCATCCCTGGAGAAAGCGATTCTAAGGGGGCGGGCGGATCTTGCTTAACATGTCGGTGCAGGATGCCTGGCTTCTTTTTCCACTGCTCCTTCACTCAACACTCAAAAGCACGGCGAGATTAAGCAATCCCACGAGAGTGCGCGCTGGCTGCAAGTCTATCCGCAGCAAGCGATCGTGGTGTCGCCGAGCCCCTGCAAGTCTTTGCTTAGAAAATCCGACATGTCTTGCCCGTCTAGCTGCTCACATTGCTTGCGCAATTTGCACATGCACTGCCTTAGCTGTCTCTCGTCTTTGCCGGAGAAACGTAGGGAAACGCATTTTTTGAGGAGCGTGGTGGAAACCGAATCAACTCTGGACGCCGTCAGAATGGACACCTCCACTCTAGCGACCCAGCGAGCATAGCTATGGTAAGCCCTCTGCGTCGCCTCAGGCCGCGCCGCATGCAAAAAGTGGCGAGCAACTCCATTGCTCTCCAACTCCTGGCCAATAAAAGACTCGGCTGATGAACGCGGCTCGCCCACGAGCAAGCAAGCCTGCGTCCGCGCCTCAGCGGAGACACGGGACTCGACTCCGTTCTCCTGAGGTACATTCAGATTTGGTGGAGGATGGGCCAGATCAAAAGCTTCCTGCAGCTCTGGAGCTAGTCTGCCGCGTCGAGCAAGCCGTGCTTCTTCTCGTCGCAGGGAACTCTTGCTCGTGGGGTCGGATTTCTTCCTGGGCCGATCGACTTGCGGCAACTCTTTCGGCAGGCGCAGCTTCCTGTGCCAGACCGGCTGCTCGGGCCCCTCGAACGAGACCGCGATGCCACAATGGGTCTTCCATGGCGCAGCAAACGCTGGGGTGAGGGTCACCCTGCCCTTCAAGCCCTCGCTAACAATCGCGAAATCGATCATGGAGCCCTGACCTTTGTCGCATGTGATGGCACAAGGAGGGGTCAGCACCACCCCCCGCATGAACTCCTCAATGTGGGCCTGCGCGATCTGCGACGGGGAATGGTTCCAGTCTCCTATGATCACATACGGGTCAGCCAAGCTCCTCACGAAAGAGACGAGAGCCCTCAACGTTTTCACGTTAGGCCCCTTCGTGAGCCCAAACTTGGGAGCAAGGTAGGTGCATATCAACACCACGTTACCACCTTTCATATGCCAGACAGGAGCCGAGAAACCATGAAAGGGGCTAGCTGACCCGCTAGCGCGGTACTTGGTGAGGTACTCAAAGGAGGATGTCGCCACATGCGTGCGTGCCAGGATGGCTTCACCTGCTGATGTGCCAGTCTCAGATCGTCCGCTATTCCTGGCAGGTGTGGCGACCATCTGCCACCCGTCCTTCCTCGCCGCTGTCTGCACCTCGTAGGTGAGTTCTTCGTTGATGTGAGTCTCGACGAACATGCACA